GCGTGGCTGCGCCTTACCGCTGTGCAGAGGGCTCTCCCGAGAGACCTGCTCGTTACTGACCGCCTCTGATTACCCCGCTTCCGCTCAGAGGCCAGGGAGCGTTTGGAAGAGCTGCGGCCACCTTTAGCGCTGCAGGAGCAAGGTTGGCCTTGCACAACGTTTGTCTGTGGTCAGCAGCATCGGATAAACAAAAACGTGTTGCTTATTCCAAAGTAGCTGATTGCTGATAAGCAAGTTCCAGTGTAACTGAAATCAGGTATGAAATGAACACTGTGACCTAAAAGGAAGAAGTAGCCTGTGTGTAAAATGTACGTGGCCTTCATAATTTTAGCCCTTTGGAAGGAGAGAAGAGCTGAAAGGCACTGTGCTGCTGGAAGGACAGCGAAATGAGGCAGCCAGAGGAGAGGAATCCTGAGCTGTGCCCGCGCAGAGGGAGGCTTAGACATGTAGGCTCAACCTGCTTTAGACAGCAGAGACTCTCCCTGAAGGAGATGCACATTATGGCCATTCCAGTCGAAGGATTTCCTGTATTAGATACAGGAAAATCCACTTCACCATCCAAGGATTTTCCTGCTCAGATTTTCTGATGTCTGATAAGGGCTCTGAGTTTCTCTGCAGCACTGGTATGGTTCAGTGCTGAGTCAGCCGCGCACATGATGCTCACCCCTGGGCAACCAGACCTTTCTTGTTCCGCTCCCCATGGAAAGGCTTCCTGAGGAAAGGGGAAGCTGCTGCAGCAGCACTCTTCTGTGCAACATCATGAGCACAGCAGGTGCTAAAAATGAACAGCTCTATGTCACAATAGCATCCGGTTACCTCAATGTTAAATGTATTCTGACACTGCCTGCCTGTGATTCTTACATGAAGAATAAGTGAGTGAATTAATTTCATTGTAACCCCAAGGAATGTATTTTGCTTTCAGGGAATGAGAAAGGCTGGACTCATCCCAAACAGTCTCCACAAATCTTCCATGGGGAATCTGACCCAAAATATCCATGTCTCTTGTCACCCTTCTACAACATCTCCTAGCCCAACGAGCAGCACCCCACACCAGTGACCTGGCACCACACCACCAGCGTTGCTCACCAAACACCTAGAGCTCTGCAAGAGAAGCTTCTGTTTATGCCAGGTCTCAGGCTGAAACAACAACCTGGGCCTTTTTTCCCCTCACTTCTCTGATGCTGCAATACCAGAGTCATTAATGAAAGCATTTCACTATACATCATGAGGGGAAAAGATATGAGCAGCTTCTTCCTGTAGGAACAAGCAGGTACCTAGGCCTGGTACTAAGTAGGACTTCTGTAGGACCTGTGATAGACCACACCAGTTTCTAAACAGGTTTTCCCAAGTATTTCCACTGGGCAGAGGGATTGTACGGCTGCCAGTGGAGGGGTCCACCTCCAGCAGTACAGGTTGGACACCTGAGACAGTAAAATTTCTTTAAATGATCCGTTCCTTCCCTTTCTGTTCCATTCCTGCCAGACTGGCCCTGTGATTGACATGCCAGTGCCCGCCAGCTTCAACGATATCACTCAGGACCCCAGCCTGGAGAACTACATCGGCTGGGTTTGGTATGAGAAGGAGGTGCTGCTCCCTCGCCGCTGGCTTCAGGACAACCTCAACACCAGGGTGGTGCTCCGCTTCGGCAGTGCCCATTACTACTCCATTGTGGTACGTTGCATGGGAAGTGGTCCGTGTGTTCCCAGAATTATGCTGTGCTGAAATCTGTCTCGTGGCTTGTTCATCAGCGACACCTCTGCCTAGATTTTATATCTTAACTCTTGCCTGTGCTCCTCCAGCTGAGGACTTGGCCCTGTTTCATGCTTGTACATGACCCAGCCCTAGCACCCAGCAAAGGAAGGGCTGCTAAACTCATCCCTCAAGGAATAAGAGCCCAGAACAAGGTTCAGTGTTACTGAGAATCCCAACTGCCCTTTGCTGGACTCTTTCTCTTTGCCCTTCTACGCTTGCCACAAAAGCCCAATAACCTGTTTCTTTGGCTCACGGGTGTCTTCTCTTGCAGTGGGTCAATGGAGTGCAAGTGGTGGAGCATGAAGGGGGCCACCTCCCTTTCGAAGCAGATATAAGCACCATCGTCCAGGGCAGCCCAGGGATCCCCTGCCGCATCACTGTTGCGCTCAACAACACTCTGACTCCCCATACTCTGCCTCCAGGGTCAATTCTGTACGTGAATGACCCAACGAGGTGAGTTACTCACTGTACTGCTGAGCTTATCCCAGGACTGCGAGAAAGGGAATTTATCCAGCTTCAGAAGACCTTCCTTCAGTTCATAAGACCTTCCAAGCAACTTAGGAAAGCATGGATTGTATTTATGCTGAAATTCATCAGCTGAGCAGGGAGGCATTTCAGCTTTGCTGTTATGAGGAATCTGCATTGAGTTATTGCATCTGTTTTATACACAGGGAACTAAGATTAAATGATTTGCCAAGGTGAATAAATGTCAGAGTTAAGAAGCTTGAATTCAGCTGGAATATACAAGTACCAGCTATCCTGAAGGACCAAACCTATTCAGTGCATGAGATGTTTGCTAACATCTTTAGTGCCCCTTTAGTGCAACAGCACTACTGAAAGATAGATCCATCCTGCTGTAAAAACTATTCTACCAGATGGCATCTGTTATTACATGACAATTTACATTGCTAACATCCATAGGCTGCCTTCAGTTCTTGTAATGAAATAATAATGTAGCCATTTCTCCTCTCTTCCTTACTCAGGTATCCCAAGAACTATTTTGTACAGAACATCAGGTTTGATTTCTTTAATTACGCTGGAATCCATCGCCCGGTTGTGCTTTACACCACTCCTTCTGTCTACATAGATGATATTACTGTGACAACTACTTCATCAGACAGTGTTGGTAGGTCCAGAACAATTAGAGCAGCTACCTGAGGCTCCAAATGGAGATGACAGGGGCAGCAGAGAAAATACCCTGCAAAAGTCTGATTCAGTTAGTTTCATAGTGGCCTTCTCTTGAACCTGGGCTCATGTATTGCACAGCTCAGCAGCTGCAAGAATATGGTAGAGTTCAGAAGCAGTAAGAAAAGAGACAATTTGCAAGAGACAACTGTAAAAAAGGATGATCAGGTGTTTCTTGAAGTAGACTTTGTCAGTAGGAGCAGTCTGCCTGCCATTAAAGCAGGATTGTCACTAACAGAGTTGTGTGATACACAAACCATGCTGGATTGTGGACCTCAAGGCAGACAATCTTGGGACTTTACAGTCAATTCGTGCCACTCTGTTGTTGTTCTCCACCTCCCTCTTTTTTTAATGCTGCTCTGTGTGAACCCCTCCAATATTTGCTGCATCTGTTTTTCTTTCGTGGCAGTTTCTGACGGTCTTTCGTTTCCTTTGAACCAGCAATGGTGCAGTATCAGGTGTCTGTTATTGGCAGCACACTCTATTCCTTATCCTTGAGTTTACGCGACCAAGAGGGGAAAGTGGTTGCTACAGGTGATGGGCCAGCTGGAGAGCTAGAAGTCCTGAACCCAAATCTTTGGTGGCCTTACCTGATGCACGAGACGCCTGGATATCGCTACTCCTTAGAGGTAACACGATGTTTCTTCCTTTCCATGTGCATTCACTCTGACTGCCCAGTAGGGTTAAAGAAGTGCTATGTGGCCCATCTTCTGTACTCATCTTCTCGCACGGATCCTGTTCATGCAGCCAGAGTGGTGCTGCTGACTATGCAGTAACCAAATCAAGCTTTGCCAGCTTCCTGCATGCTGAACTGAAAGGTCTGTTGGTGAGAAGGGCATGTGTGTGCTCAGAGACTTGCCTTTCACAGTTAGGGCCCAATCCATCCCTTGCAAAAGGAGTGTTTGAGACAGTACATGGTGGGAGGTATCATCAAAGCTGAGAGTAGAGTCTCCGAGGAGCAGGCTGCTAACCTCTTCCACACGCTTTGCCATGCAGTGAGCTTGCTTCCCCACTCTGCAAGACAAGAGCTCAGTTTCAATAGCACAGGGATCAGTAGTGACATTTACAGCAATTGGGGCACATGAGCTGCTGTGAGTTTCCAGGGGCTCGAGTCCGTACCTCGTGTGAGCAGATGACACTTCAGCCACTGCCTGGTGTCAAGGTGTGAGGGCAGAAGAGGGGGACTGCTGCCTTGCCTTGGGGGGCAGAATGGCCCAGATGAGTAAGGGGAAAAGAAACCGAATCTCTTGGGGTGAACAAGCCCCAGGAGGGTCATCCAGGATTCATCCTTGAGCTTCCCCAGCTTGGATTTCTACTGTCTGTTTAGTCAAACCTTGCTCTGTCTCTGAGGTCCACAAGAGGTGGCTGGAGCAGCAGCGAGGAGCAGGCTGGGGAAGGGACGGGAGGTCAAGACAACCCTTACAGGCACGGGGAGGGAGGACAGGGCATCCTTGCAGAGCCCATCACGTCACTCGTGTCTCCTTGGAAATCCAGGTGAAAATGCAGGCGCAGGTGAACGGGGCGTTGCTGGAGGACGTGTACACGCTCCC